GTTCTCGGTGGATGCTTTTTCATAAGTAGATCCCACTCATGGCGCCCCCGTGTGTGTCAGAGTAGAACTGTGCTCCACAGGGTTGTCAGTGGATGAGTTTTCATAAGTAGATCCCACTCATGGCGCTCCCGTGTGTGTCAGAGTAGAACTGTGTTCCACAGGGTTCTCAGTGGATGATTTTTCATAAATAGATTCCATTCATGGTGGTCCCATGTGTGTCAGAGTAGAACTGTGCTCCACAGGGTTCTCAGTGCATGATTTTTCATAAGTAGTTTCCACTCATAGTGCCCCTGTGTGTGTCAGAGTAGAACTGTGCCCACAGGGTTCTCAGTGGATGATTTTTCATAAGTAGAATCTGCATCTTTGCAGATTGAATGAGAGTGAATGAGCTACCTCAGTTCACCTTCTCCCCCTAGGAACATAGTACTGAAGACTCTGCATTAGAGGGGCAATGCTACTTGGAGCTATGCCCCAGGTTGGCTGCTGGTTCTACATTCTATTCTCCCTTTGTGAGATCCTCTGTGTGGACCTTGTGGATTAGAGTGATGGTCAGGTGGAAAGCATGCCTCCTCTCTCATGCGATCTGGTCTTGAGTCTTCCTTATTGCCATACTTGACCTAGAACTTTCTTAAACCTCACACTCACCTGAGAGTACAGTTCTGAGCATTTTGGTGCTTTGAATTTCATTCTTATGGAAGATGTGATCTTTGCTTGCTCCGTTCTTCTGGGTTAAAGAAGATAGTCCAACAGTTGTTGTTGTGGTTATGTGCCATGGTCGGTTCCAACTCATAGAGACCCTGTACAGGGTTTCCAAGGCTGTAAATCTTTACGGAAACAGAAAGCCTCATCTTCCTCCTGCAGAACAGCTGGTAGTTTTGAACTGCTGACCGTGAGGGTCGCAGCCCGATTTGTAACCACTAAGCTACCAGAGCTCCCTTTGTAATAACAATAGTCATTGTAATTTACAATAGTCATTGTGATTTACAATAGTTATTGTGATTTACAATAGTCATTGTAATTTACAATAGTCATTGTAATTTACAATAGTCATTGTAATAACAGTAGTCACTATTACAGCAATTATTTCCTGAACATGTGTGAAGATTTATAGTTTTCAAAGTTCATTGCCAGTAGATGATCACATTTAATCCTCACAATAGCAGAGATGGGTACTATTTTTTTCCTGTTTTATAAGTGAGAAAAGAGGAAGTTCAGAGAGGTTAAATGACTAGCCCGAAGTTCTACAGTTAGTGATTGTGAAAAGATTCTAAATTTACTCTTTTGATTCTAGCTAAGGATAATAAAGATGTGGGTATAAGATTTGTTGTGAATGCCGGTTAGCTCTTGGTCTTGCTTCTCTGAAATTGTGGCTTAGGTGGGGCTCAATCTGCAATCCGGAGATTCACTTCTGACTTCTGTAAAATTGCTTCTGGTGTTCTCTTTCAAAACAAATTCTAAGACAATTCTGTGCAATAGAGAAGATGATACCTTTCACATCCTACAGATGGAGAAATGGAAGCAGAGAGGGGCACACACACATTGAAAGGCAGCGCTTGGACTGAAATCTGAGTAGACTCTTAACCCAGGGTTTTTTCTGCCATATTTTATTTGCTTTATGGGCATCCTGGCCGGGGGTACTCTGTGTAAAACGCTACTTTAAAGTCGCTATTTATAAAATTGGGCTCAGTCACAGCGATGATCATAAGGACCAGACTACATTGTATTTTGTTAGACGTGAGGCCTCCATGGCTTGAAGTGAACTCAATGGCAACCAACAACAACATTTATAAACGATTATAAAAGAGAATGTTTGTTTCTCTGTTCTACTTTAGATCTCTGAATAGAGAAAATGGTTTGCACTCAGCTACTAACTGAAACATTGGCTGTTCAAAGCCACCCAGCAGTGCCTTGAAGAAAGATCTGATGATCTGCTTTTATATATATTACTGTCAAGAAAACCCTAGTTAAAAGCTTGCAGGAGGCCATCAAAAATACAATGATTGGTCTCTTCCTATCTGGCACAAAGAAGAACAAAGGTAAGCAAAGACTCAAGGAAGTAACTAGTGTATAGGACTAATGGCCCACGTGAACCACAACCTCCTCTGACCTAAGACCAGAAGATGGGATGTTGTCAGCTATCCCTACCGAGTGCTTTCCCCCAGGATGCAATAGAAGGTCCTGGTTAGATTGGGAGAAAAATGTAGAACAAAACTCATAAAAAAAAAATCAGACTTTCTGGACTGACCCTGAGGCTAGTATCCTATTACCTTTTTAAGCTGGGATGCAAGTCACTCCCAGTAGCCATCTTGTAAATACTAGAGTGGCCTGTAAACTAAGCTATCACACGTGTGTGGAATGTTCTCTTTAGAACAATAAACGATACCAAATCAAACAGGTAACGTTTGCCTAGAAACACAGATGAGAAGGCAGTAGAGGGTCAGGGATACCGGCGGGATGGAAATGAAGAAGGTGGCGTAGAAATGGACACACTGCCGACAACTTCAAGGATAGCATTCATTGTCCAGGAAGAGCTTGTGTCTTAATTGCCGAATGAGAAATTCATCTTGTACGTAACTTTCACGAAAAGTACCATGTTGTTATTGTTGTTAAGTACCGTGGAGTCAGTTCCGACTCATAGTGATCCTGCACAGGGTTTCCGAGGCTGTAAATCTTTACGGGAGCTGAATGCTTCATCTTTCTCCCGTGGAACCACTGGTAGTTTCGAACTGCTGACCTTGAGGTTGGCAGCCCAACTCATAACCACTAAGTGCCGTAAGATGTTAAAAAACTAAGGCTCTGAAGCAGTTCTGTTGTATTACACACAGAGTCACGAGGAGTCAACAGCAGCTCGCCATACTCAGAATAATGTTCTGTTTTAGGGTGGTGCTCACCACAACTATTAGGATTTGAACTAACCTAGAGGAGTTACCTCAGCTTTCTCATCTATCAAAGGGGTTCTCCCAGCACCTACCCCATGGGGTGCTATGAGAACCAAGCCCCCCAGTGGAGAACACTGGGACACAGCGAGGGGCAGGGGAGTCCATGTGGACCTGGCACCGACTCTCTGCAGCAGACCTGCCTATAGACCTCCCAGGTGTGCACCTGGGTCTTAGGTGCCAGCTTAGAGAAGCACAGCCTGCCGAGCAGGGGACGCTGGTGCCAGGACCTAACATATCACCTACAGCAATGTTGACACTGGCAAGGGAAGGCAGAAAAAGGGCAGGCAAATTCACGGCAGCGAGGGGCCACTGGGGGCCACTGGAAACTGAGCCTGGATAACATTTGCATTGCTTATGAGATGAAGAAGCTCCCCTTGTCCAGAAAGTGTGGGTCCTGGACTCTGGCTCCGCCTCTGCAATAGGACAGCTGGAGAGGGACACACACACACACACACAATGACCTTCTGGTAGGTACCAGGGTCTTTCAGACAAGTTCAGCAAGAATCACCTCACTGTCTGGGGACCATCTTGCCCCCCTCAGAGAAATGGATGGAGATGACACGCTCCCAACCCCCTTGGGGATGGACAGGAGGACCACTATCCTGGCTGGCTTTTTGTTCCTTTTGTGCCTGGTGGCGGTGGCAGGCAATGGTGCCATCACCGCAGCCCTGGGCATTGAGTGGCTGGTGCGGAAGAAGCTATCACCCCACGATACATTGCTGGTCAGCTTGGGGGACTCACGCTTCTGCCTGCAGTGGGTAGTGATCTGGAAGAATGTTTATCTCTTTTTGTACCCTGAGGCATACCCCTACAACCCCATGATGCAGTTCATCTCCTTCCAGTGGGACTTCTTGAATGCCGTCACCCTGTGGTTCTCCACTTGGCTCAGTGTCTTCTACTGCGTGAAGATTGCCACCTTCACACACCCAGCGTTCCTCTGGCTCAAGCAGAAGGTGTCCAGGTGGGTGCCGTGGATGCTTCTCAGCTCCCTGGGGCTCTCTAGCCTGTGTACCATCCTCTTCTTTATTGGCAACCAGCACTTGTATCAGAACTACTTATGGAGAGACCTGCACACACAGAACGTCACTGGGAATGGTCTGAGGCGGTTCTATGAGAAGTTTTTCTTCTTCCCACTGAAAGTGGTTATCTGGACTGTGCCCACGGCTCTCTTTGTCCTTGGCATGGTTCTACTCATCACGTCGCTTGGTAGGCATGCCAAGAAGGCCCTTCTGCTTGTCTCAGGGTTCCGGGATACCAGTGCCCAGGCCCATATCAAGGCTCTCCTGGCCCTCGTCTCCTTTGCCATCCTCTTCATCTCCAATTTCCTGTCACTGATACTCAACTCTGCAGGTGTCTTTCCAACTCAGGAACTCCAGTACTGGATGTGGCAGGTGGTGATCTATCTGTGCATGGCGGTGCACCCCATCATTCAGTTCTTGAGTAACCCTAAGCTCAGAGCCGCGCTGCAGACACGGTGCTGCCCCATGTCTTGGGTATTGGAGTGATAAATCTCAGAGAGATGCTGAGTCAGGGGCACAAGGGAATTTGCTTCTCACTCTCTGCTTCCTCTCCTTGACAATGCATAATTAGAAGAATACGTTGTTGGTATTAGAAGCCGTTGAGTTGGTCCAGACTTTAGCTATAGGATGAAACAGTTTCCTGTCTTGCCCTATCTTCACACTCCATTTCATTCACGTCTTCTTCTTTTTCATTAACTTTCTACTTTAGCAAGCATGATGTCCTTCTCCACACAGGGACTGCTCTCTGCTGGTAACATGTTCAAAGCATGTTAGATGAAGTCTTGCCATCCTCGCTTCTAAGGAACATTCTGGATCTACTTCTTTTAAAACAGATTTGCATTCTTTTGGAAGCCCATAGTATTCGCCATATCTATCACCAATCCCATAACTCAAATGCATCGATTCTACAGTCTTCCTTACTCATTCTCTAATCTTTGCATGTATATAAGACAATTGAAAATATCATGACTTGGGTCAGTGCATTTTAGTTCTCAAGGTGAAATCTTTGCTTTTGACTCTAAAGAGGTCTTTTGCAACAGATTTGCTCAATGCGATACATTATATGGTTTTTTGACTGTTGCTTGTATATTGTTGATTGTATATCCAAGTAAAATGAAATCCTTGATGAATCCAATCTTTTCTCTGTTCATCATAATGTTGTTTCTTGGTTCAGTTGTGAGGACTTGTTTCCTTCATGTTGAGGTGCAATCCATATTGTATCTTCTTGGTAAATGCTTCGAGTCCTCTTTGCTTTCAGAAAACCAAGTTGTGTGATTTACATATCACAGGTTGTCAATGAGTCTTCCTCCAATCCTGATGCCGTGTTCAGACAGTCTTCTTCTTCATGTAGTCCAAGCAGCTCCTCAGATTGTTCAGTCAGCATACAGATTGAAAAAAATCAGACAAATGCCTTCAGTGATTTCGAGGTGAGACCTAAGGTCTTGCAATGTGACCTCAAGGCACTGGAAGACACTCAGCAAGAGTTCAGTTGATGTCATTGTGGAAGTGACGTGGGACCTGGTGTGGTCAGAGCATCAGAAAACATCTGCTTTCCCTGTGACTGACCTCTTGATGTTTACACTGTCCCGCGAACTAAGCACAAGAACTGTGATACACAATGTGAATCAGACTGGAGACGGTTTCTGGAACCTCCGTTTTGCCTCTGACTTCATCTTGTGGCCACTTTTCCCCTGTCTTCCCTTAGCTGTGTTGTGGCTGTGCCCACAGTTCTCTCCATGAGAGTTCCTGCTGCAGGAGCTTCTGGTCTGGGCTTTCTTCACAGACCATGGTGTCCTGAGTTTATACATGGGCCATGTGTGTCCACTGAGACTTAGGGCCTCTGAATGATGGAGCTGACAGTTTCCATGTTGTCTACAAGGCCCTCGTCTGTTTGTCTGTCCTAGGGTAAGTAAAGTCCACGAGTACAGCTGTCCCCTTTTCTATCACGTTGACATTGAAGCCTACTGCTGGTTCTTGTTTGGTGGAGGGTGTTTGGTTCCCAGTGCTCTGGGTCACCCCGACATCCCAGCCTTCAAACTTCTTATCCTGTCCCCTGTAGTTCACAGCTGGCCCTTATAATACAAGGTCAGGACTATTGTCATTGAGTGGGTTCTTCTTGTACCTGGGGAGCTTAGGTTTGCTTAGACTGTCCCATCTCAGAAGGAGCCCTATTGCTGTAATGGTTAAGGTGTTGAAGTGACAACTGAGAGGTGGGTAGCTTGAACCTACTAGTCACTCTTGGGGAGAAAAAATGTAATAGTCTGGTTCCACCAAGATTCTAGTCCAGAACCCTACGAAGCAGTTCTACTCTGAAGTGCATAGGCTCGCCTAAATCTGACTCAACTCAATGTCAAGGGTCTGTTTTTCTGGTTTTGTAAAGAGATAGAGAAGGCGAACATGTCACATTACAGGAAAACAAAAGCAGGTGAAGCCAGGAGGAGGCGAGACAGAAAGTGTTAAGATAGAGTATGGGAAGAGGAAGAGGGCCCAGTGTGGGTAGACCTAAGAAAAAGCCAGCAAAAAATGCCCTCTCTTTATAAAAGAGTCCCATCCCATAATGCAAAAGCCCCTTGTTGTGCATGCATTCGCTATCCATATGGTGTAGCAAATCCCCCCAAATTTAGTTCCTTTAAACAACACCATTTATCAGCTCACGGTCCCTGTGGGTTAGGGGTCCAGATGTGCTCTCTTGGCTGGGCCAGCTGGCTCTGGACTTCTCCCAGGATTCCCTCATTTCAAGCGTGAACGGGGAAGTGTCTGCTTCCTTCTTCACGCATGTGGTTGTTGGCCGGGTTTCGTTCCTCATGGATCACAGCTCTGAGGCCTCAGTTCCTCAAAGGCTGGGTCCCTGCTTCAGTTCCTTGTCACATGAACCTCTCCTTAGAGCCTGCCACTTCATCAGAGTGAACAAGTGAAGGGACAGCTGAGAGTGAAAGAGAGAGACAGAGACAAAGAGATAGACATAGAGAGAGACACACAGAGAGACCAAGAGACAGAGACAGAGGGAAAGACAGAGATAAATAGAGGCAGAGAGACATACAGAGACATATAGAGAGACAGAGACACACACAGAGACAGAGACAGAAAGATACAGAGACAAAGAGATTCAGAGAGAGAAAGAGAAGAGAGTGGATCTAAGACGACAGAAGTTGAAGTTTTGTAATCGAATCAACAATAATAGTGTGCCCTGTAAAGTTGATAACAATACCCTTGAAGGACGTGCTCCCTAGAACAATGAACTATATGGACCAAATGGGCAACATTTGTCTAAAACCAAAGGTTAGAAGGACAGGAAGTCAGGGTCCTGGAGGAATAGAAACGGGGAGGGTGGGGTAGAAATGGTGACTATGCTCACACACTGCTGGGAGTGCAAACAACCTCACAGAACAGCTCTGCATAAAGTGTTGACTGGGAAACTCCTCTGTGGTGTAAACCTTCACCTAAAACGTAATCAAATGTTCACACAGGAAAACTCTATAAAGCAGTTCACCTACAGCAATGTTGACACTGGCAAGAGAAGGCAGAAGAAGGGCAGGCAAATTCACGGCAGCGGGGGGCCACTGGGGGCCACTGGAAACTGAGCCTGGATAACATTTGCATTGCTTGTGAGATGAAGAAGCTCCCCTTGTCCAGAAAGTGTGGGTCCTGGACTCTGGCTCCACCTCTGCAATAGGACAGCTGGAGAGGACACACACACACACACACACACACACACACACACAAAGACCTTCTGGTAGGTACCAGGGTCTTTCAGACAAGCTCATCAAGAATCACCTCACTGTCTGGGGACCGTCTTGCCCCCCAGAGAAATGGATGGAGATGACACGCTCCCAACTCCCTTGGGGATGGACAGGAGGACCACTATCCTGGCTGGCTTTTTGTTCCTTTTGTGCCTGGTGGCGGTGGCAGGCAATGGTGCCATCACCGCAGCCCTGGGCATTGAGTAGCTGGTGCGGAAGAAGCTATCACCCTGCGATACATTGCTGGTCAGCTTGGGGGACTCACGCTTCTGCCTGCAGTGGGTGGTGATCTGGAAGAACGTTTATCTCTTTTTGTACCCTGGGGCATACCCCTACAACCCCTTCTCATTTCTCACCGGGACTGCTTAAATTCCTCTTCACCAGCTGCTCCATCACTCCCTCCCTGGTCCAAACCATCATGGCCCCTAGGAATCTCCTAAAGGTGCAACTGCCCCTGCCACCCGCGGTCCTAGCACTTCGTCTGAAGCAGTCACAGCTCACAAGGTCCCTCAGCTTGGCCTCCTAGGATCTCCCCAATGCACAGACAATTCTAACGTTTAGAGTTTCCATTCTGGTAGAGGTAGACTTGGCAGTGGAATCTGGCATATCATTGTTTTCTGGATGGACCTGGGACTTTCTCACCAGCAGGCTGTAATGTGCTCCTTTACTGCCATGTTGACTCATCAAAACGTTATCATTTTGTCCCCCTTTAGCTGTTAAAGGGCAATTCCAATGTCACTGTCCCATTGCAGCTGTACTGGGTGACCCTTAAGCCACTAGCGTTCTCCCACCTTCGAGGGTTTATAAATGAGGTGACGGAAATTCTGACTTTTCGTGCAATTTGCATCTTTGTCTTATCTGCCCCTGTTGTTGTTAAATACTGTCAAGTTGGTTCTGACTCACAGTGACCCTGTATAGGTCTTCCAAGGAGCGACTGATGAGCTTGAACCACTGACCTCATGGTTCAAACTGATCTTGCGGTCCACTGCTTTATCCCACAGTGCCACACCAGGACTCCCTATCTGCCCCTTGTTGTTGTTGTTAAGTTCTGTTGAGTTGGTCCTGACTCATAGCGACCCTGTACAAGGTTTCCAAGGCTGTAAATCTTTATGGGAGCAGAAAGTCTCATGTTTGTCCCACGGAGCAGCTGGTAGATTCAAACTGCTGACCTTGAGATTAGCAGCCCGATTCGTAACCACTACGCTACCAGAGTTCCTTTATCCACCCCTGTTGTTGTTGTTGTAATGTGCCATGGAGTCAGTTCCGGCTCATAGTGACCCTGTACAGAGTTTCCGAGGCTGTAAATCTTTAAGGGAGCAGAAGGCCTCATCTTTCTCCCATGGAACAGCTGGTAGTTTCGAACTGCTGACCGTGAGGTCGTAGCCCGATTCATAACTACCCCAGTAGACTTTAAATGTCCTGAATGCACGGCTGCCTGTACTTGCACACGCTCCTGGAAGCCCGCAGACAGTGTGCCGCACGGCACCGAGAGTCTGCTGCTCCTGGACCCCAGCTGTCGTG